ATAATTAAATTAATTTCAAATTTTCTTTTAATTGTAGTGAAGAGAGAGGATTATGGAGAAAGTTATGTGAGGAGAGAGAAAGAGAATAATCAATTATTAATATTAATTATATTTGCAAAATAACCTTATTTATCTTCAACTACCTATTAACTACTAACTTTTTATTAACTATCTAATCCACTATCAACTAATAGAATTATTTAAGCAATATGCATGAGCTTTTGGGTTTAAGCACAGGAACCCAGGCCATCCCGGGGGTGGGGGTAGGCAGGTATCACTTTTAATAAGAGTATTAGGCAAGATAAGATAGGTCAGACAAAGTATCTGGATAATTTTAAGTCTACTACACATATACATATATATAAAGGAGCAAAAAAAAAATATACACATATATAATATCAAGGTATACTATACTTATTATTTTACTCAATATACGATAGTAGATAGGTATGACGAAGTATGTGCATAAATTAGAGGTTAGAGAATTAGGGACTGGAGTTCACCTATTAGAGGTTAGAGTATCGTATCATTGCCCCAAAAAACTCTGGTTAATTCGGGGTCTAAATAGTAAAACTCAATGGTCGTATGGTAGTGTGAACGCATGAGCTAGCGTACTCCTGGCTCACGCTAGCTTGAACTATATATATGTGTGTGTTGGGGGGAGGGGTTCAGGTTGGCGTACGCTAAATATTAGTATTTTGGTTGAAATTTTTTGGCATATGTTCTAAATAGGATGTGACAACGACATAATTTATGATTTATTTATGATTAGAAAACCGAAGCATCCTACAATATATACATCCTACAAACTCTGTTATGAATATATTAACCCGCCCGATCAACCCGACCCGCAACCCGACCGTAACCCGAATTGACTAAAAGTCAACAACCCGTAACCCGCCCGACCCGCAACCAGATTGACCCACAACCCGACTGACCCGCAACCCGATTAACCCGAACCCGATTGACCCGCAACCCGACTAACCCGCAACCCGATTAACCCGAACCCGACTAACCCGTAACCCGACCGACTCAACCCGAACCTCACTTAGTCCACTTAAATAATTATTATAATATACAATACATAGTTTTTCAAAATAAAGTTTTTCATTCTAAACTTAGGTAAAATTATTTTTTCATTTTGTATAGAGAATTTAAAAAATATGAAACTCACTTGATATTATGTATTTTAAGAAAATTACAAAAATTGAAACATGAAGGTCACTTGAACACTAAGTTCTTTAACAAAATTAAAAAAGTAAAAAATATAAAATCAACATAATGTCAATATTAATAATGAAGAATTAATAATTGAGATCAGGGAAAATATTAATATAATATATAATTTAAAATTTGGGTTAATTTAACTATTCAATAAATTATCAATTAAATATAAATAAAATTAAGTAATGTATTTGGTAATTTGATGTTTTTAAAAGAAGAGAACAATTTTGGTGTATTCAATTTTTTGGGAAGAGAAAGAAGAGGGAAATTTGGTTCTTTGGATTTTTTAGAAAAGAAACAAGTGGAAATGTTGGTGGTTTTGATTTGTGGGAAGAGAAAGAAGTGGAAAAATTTAGTTTTTTTGATTATGAAAGAGAAATAAGGAGGGAAATTTTGAGTTTTCAACTTTTTGTGGAAGGAAGAGGGAAATTTGGTTCTTTCAATTTTATGGAAGAGAAAGAGGAGGGAAATTGAGTGTTTCTAATTTATGGAAGGAGAAAGAAGGAGGGAAATTTTAGTTTTTTTTTTGTGAAAAGAAAGAATGAAACAAATTTAGTGTTTTCAACTTTTTGGTTTTTCAAAATTTTAGCATTTGAAATATGAATCTTTAAATTTTATATGGAGGGCATGACTAGTTAAATTTATTTTTATATGCTTTGAAGGCTAATATATATATATATATATATATATAATTGTTTATGTGGTAATAAATAAATTAACCATTAGTTACAACAATTATACTAAACTTGATAAGTAATCTTTGACGGCTCGTTGTTTAGGGTATAAAGTATATGGTTAGCATATATGGTATAAGGTACATATGGTTTAGGGAGTATATGGTTAGGGTATAAGTCTATAAGATATTGATGGTTTTGACGGTTCTAAGTTTTTTTATTAACATATGTTCAATTGAAAGTCATTTGATGTCTTCAACGGCAGGAGATCCATTTTTAATTTATGTTTGTGGTACGTGGTTAGGGTACAAGGTATATGGTGTAGAGTATAGGATATATGGTTAAGGTATAACAATTAGCAAATATCACTTTTTATCTATGTTTTGAAAATCAAAGTATGAATTTCAATTTTAAATTAGTTATACTAGCAAAATCACAACTCATAAGGACATATGGTTAGGGTATAGGGTATGTGGTTAGTGTATAATGTATTGATGGTTTAGGGTATACAATCAACAACATATACTAACTTAATATTGTCGATTGAGGGTAAGGCTAAGTGTATAATATATATGTTATTGAGTAAGTTATGATTGAAGTCACAATAATTTTACTAGATTTGATAGTTAATCTTTAATAGTCAATCATTACTCACGGTATTTACTACTTATGGTCACTAGTTCTCCCATGACTAATTACCAACTACTAATTATAGTAATTTACAATGACTAATTACAAACCAATAGTCACAGTGTTCTCATGTCATCATCAACATTATAGTATCAAGAGTAACCTGATTTCATTGCTATTATATTTTGTAGTTAACTGTCAATACAATTGCTTCAAATACCATTCATCAATTAATATAATTGACATACAATTAAAAAAATATTCTTGTAGCATACAAATATAAGACAATATTTCTTGCTCCGTTACTAAAATTTGCTAAATCTTCCCTTCCTCCATGGTGCCATAATTTCATAGCCAATTCTCCTATGCTCAAAGCATTCCATTCAAGTCTTTTTGACCATAGAAACATGATCCAAAAGCTCTGTTACTAAAATTATATATTGTAAAAGAACAATAATGCGCCCAACGAAAATGTTAGGCTTGATATCACATACACCTAACAAATTAATATTTTGAAGTATGCTGAACTTACCACTAAGTATCCGGTTAACCATGAATGTTAGTTTATCCGGAGAGTGGGCTTCGTTAGTTTTTCCGGGTAAAAGAAATTGTGAGAGAGCCAAAATTTTAGTGCGATGGAGCCAAAAATTTCGTGAGTCAAAATTTAGGATTGTAAAGGCGGGAGCCAGTAGCGGGAGCTAAAAATTTTGTGAGTCAAAATTTAGGATTGTAGAGGCGGGAGCAAATAGCGGGAGAATGAAATCATTTCGAGCAAATTTTGTATTTGCCAAATCTAAGGAGTCACAATTTAACGAGAATGCAATTTTGAAAATTTTTTGGAATCCCAATTTTGGAGGAATATAATCTGATAAGAGAAAAACTTTGAATAAAATTTCAATTTTTAAAATAATGAAAGAGACTTAATATATATATATATATTTAAAATTTACTTTTATCAAAATATCATTTTCACATAATTTTGAAGATATATAGTGACACATTGTTCACGGTAATTAACCGTGACTATCAATTAATCACGGTAAATGAAGACAAAAAGACAGAAAATTAATTCCTGTGAATAAAACTATACAACCAGTTACAGGAAGTTTTACCATGAATATTAGTACACTTCTTAATACGGGAAAAATTACCGTGAATAAGATCCCGTGACCAGAAATCAGTTTTCCTGTAGTGACCACATTTGCATGGTTATACTAAATGAGATACTTTAATCCAATTACACTATTGAAATAATACTAAAATATCAAATAAATAATTAATGGTGTCTTTTGGTTGTAAATATTGATATCACCATTACTATTAGCTAGTGTACTTTACCAATTACGATTAATTACATAACAAAGTTTGCAAGTCATACAAATTGATTTAACATTTTGACTTGTTTTTTTTTCAAAAATATTAAGTATATATATATACGAGGTAGAAATAAATTGGTTAAAATAAATATATTGTTTTCAAAATAAAGTTTTTCATTCTCAACCTAAGTAAAATCATTCACATTTAGTTGTGGTGGGAAGGCGAGATTTCAAATTTCGATTGTAGTGATTTTGACTAGTTTTTTTTTTATAATTAAATATATATACAAGCACTACAGGAAAACAGGTTTCTAGTCACGGGATCGTATTCACGGAAAATTTTACCGTATTAAAATGTACATTAGTAGTCAATTTAATTGTATAGTTAGATCACGAGAATCAATTTATCTATTTTTAGTTTTCATTTTCCGTGATTAATGATTAGCCTTTAATTTCTAACGTTATAATTAATTTTTGAAAACAAAATTGCTTCACTCCAAAATTACTTTTGGCTCCAAAAGTTCCAGATTGGCAAAAATATGCCGCCTTCTTTGGCTCCCGCAATTTTCCCCCCAAAAATTGATTAACCTGCCTTCCCTCCCTCTTGGAAAAAACTCTCTCTTCCTTCTTTACAAGAGAGAAACGAACTGAACCCAATCAATTTCTCCTCTTTCTCTCATGCGTTAGTTATTCTGCAGAGAGATAGAGCCAAACCCAATAAAATGTGTAAGTTGGTAACGAGTAAGTAACTTGATGCGTTGACCCGAACAACCCGCAACCCAACCCGCCCGCAACCCGCCCGGTCCGAAACCCGATGAACCTGAACCCGATTTGTCCGTAACCCGATTGAACCTGAACCCGATCAACCCGCAACCTGACTAACCCGCAACCCGATTGAACCAGAACCTGATTGAACCCGACCCGACGAACCCGCAACCCGATGAACCCGCAACCCGACTAACCCGCAACCCGATTGAACCCAGTCGAACCCGCCTGATTGACACCTATAGTTATGAATCAAGAAGATAAAATATTTAGAAGATTCAAAATGATTTAAACATCTAAATAAATAAATTAATATAAATAAATTATAAAATAAATTTCTACGGCGAAGGGGTCGTAAAAACTAAAAAGCTAATTAGTATATGAATTGCCGAACGGAGGGGCTGCAAAAAACTGTACAACCCAACCATCCACTAAGTTCAAACTTGTCGCTCTCCTTGGTCTTGGATCTGAGTTCTTTCATCTGTGCGATCTCTCGACATGGGTAAACCTGCTTGAACGATAAAGCTCCTTGGTTTCATTTGACTTAATCACAACTGCTAGCTGCTTGTGGTTATGGTTGTTTGATTCATTTAATTCATCTTTTGATACTCCAGTGAGCGAAAACCCTTTCAATCGGATACTCAAGGCACTCGAGAAACCTGGTGGCGGTGAATTCGGAAAATACTACAGCTTGCCGGCTCTCAATGATCCTCGAATTGGTAAGTGTTCTTTTGTCTCTTCTATTTTGTGATCATAGTTCTGGGTTTGATGACGACTGGGAAAAGTGAGGAATCTTTTCGTGAGTGTTGCGACGAAAAAGATCGGACCTTTATTTATATATAAAACTCCCCCACTAGTACAGTCTCGTTGAACTTATGGCTAAATGTATCCAAGATCCATTTCTGGAATAGTTGCTGCAGCTGCATTTACTGGGGCTTTAATACTGTGGTGATGGTGGTAGGGGATGGCAAGTTGGCAACTGTTGTTGATGGCTGTACTTGAGAGATTCTAGATTTAAAGCTCTTTTCAGTTAAAAAAAATGCCTTGTTCATTTTCTGTTAACATTGTTGTAGCTTTTAAAGTTTGGTGATTTATTGTGGAATTATTGAGCTTTTGGATTGTGGGGACATTGTTGGGACTGTCTGTTTCTGCTGCAGATAAGCTGCCATATTCAATCAGGATTCTTCTAGAATCAGCCATTCGTAACTGTGATGAGTTCCAGGTCAAGAGTAACGATGTGGAAAAGATCATTGACTGGCAGAACACTGCCCCAAAACTTGTTGAAATACCATTCAAGCCTGCTAGAGTACTGCTACAGGTGTCTGGCTAGCTTTGGCTTTTAAACGCATTTAATTTTTCATTTTCTCGTTTGGGGAAGTTTTGATGATCAAAAGTTTGTTTTTGCATTCAGGATTTTACTGGTGTTCCTGCTGTTGTTGATCTTGCATGTATGCGTGATGCCATGAACAATCTTGGAGGAGATTCGAGCAAAATTAACCCATTGGTTAGATCATTGTGTTATTACTATTTACTATATGCGGTTTGTCGTTTGCCTTACATTGTAAGATGTGATATTTTTTCTTTGACGATATTAATGTGTTACAGGAGCCATAAGATTGACACGTATTGTATAATTTCCATTTAAGGGTGAATTGAATTAGTGAACTTTCTCTGGCCAGGTTCCAGTTGATCTTGTCATTGATCACTCAGTTCAGGTGGATGTGGCCAGGACGGAAAATGCAGTGCAGTCAAACATGGAACTCGAGTTTCAAAGAAACAAAGAAAGATTTGCTTTTCTCAAGTGGGGTTCAAACGCATTTGACAACATGCTAGTTGTTCCTCCAGGATCTGGTATAGTCCACCAGGTCAGGAAGCTTCCGCCTCTTTTTCTAGATAGTGCATGCAGGGTGCATGATTACCCAGTTCATTTATTTGGTTCAATTCGATTATATTTTGTTATATATTGTGGCTGCATCAAAGTTTTCAACTTGTGTAGCTCATAGCAGAACAGTTCGTCATTCTTGTTTCCTTTGAATTGTGTTGTTGTGTGTAAGGGTTTTGACTTTGTGATTTCAGGTCAATTTGGAATACCTTGGGAGAGTTGTGTTCAATACCAACGGCTTGCTTTACCCTGATAGTGTTGTTGGGACCGATTCACACACAACTATGATAGATGGTCTGGGTGTTGCTGGTTGGGGAGTTGGTGGGATTGAAGCTGAAGCCACAATGCTTGGCCAGGTACATTTTCTTTGTTACATCTACCCCTGCACTGTTCAGTATTGTTAGTTAGGTTCTTGGATAAGAGTTTAATATTCAATAACTTCTTATTGCTTATCTCAGTTGAATGTGTTCATAGAAAATTCGCTTGTTCTGTCAATGATTTGACAAGGTAGCATTTTTATATCTGTCTGCAGCCCATGAGCATGGTTCTTCCTGGTGTTGTTGGATTTAAGCTGTCAGGAAAGCTAAGAAATGGTGTCACAGCTACTGACTTGGTTTTGACAGTGACTCAGATGCTAAGGAAGCTTGGGGTTGTTGGCAAGTTTGTTGAGTTCTATGGTATATATCCATTGAGTCCAGTATAGCTCATCATTTTCCTTTGCTATTATCTTCAAGGTTAAAAAGGATGCTCTGATTTCCTGGCTCATATATTGTACCCATTTCTGCCTGTGTGTTTTAGGTGAAGGCATGAGTGAATTGTCATTAGCTGACCGTGCCACCATTGCCAACATGTCTCCTGAGTATGGTGCCACCATGGGATTCTTTCCTGTGGATCATGTCACACTACAATACCTAAGACTGACCGGGAGAAGTGATGAAACTGTGAGTTGTTCAGATGTGTACTTTTACTCAGTTTTTCGTATGTGCTCTTTGCCAATTTGTAGATTCAATTTGCAGGTATCTATGATCGAGTCGTACTTAAGGGCCAACAAAATGTTTGTTGACTACACTGAGGTATGTATTCTAATAGATTTGGTTGACTGTTAACCATATGCAATGATTTGGCTGTTGACTGTGATATTGTTTCTTGCGTACAGTCACAGACAGATAGAGTTTATTCCGCTTATCTAGAATTGCAGCTCGAGGAAGTAGAACCCTGTGTATCAGGGCCGAAGAGGTAACCAATATGAATGTGTCGCCACAATTATAAGAATTTTCATATTTGCATTACGTGTACAGTCCATAGCTGAGAATGAAATACCTTGCAGGCCACATGATCGTGTTCCTTTGAAAGAAATGAAATCTGATTGGCATTCATGCTTGGACAGTAGGGTGGGTTTTAAGGTGAATTTTTTTATCTGCTCTAGAGTGTAAAACAAGCTTTCTACTGTCCATAGTTCCCCAATCCCAAGCTTCTTTGCCTCTCTGCAATTATCCCTTCTAACTTTCCCCCCTTGAATTCAGGGTTTTGCAGTGCCAAAGGAAGCTCAGAGCAAGGTTGCAGAGTTTGATTTTCTTGGGACTCGTGCACAACTTAGACACGGGGATGTTGTCATAGCAGCTATTACAAGTTGCACAAATACCTCAAACCCTAGTGTAATGCTTGGAGCTGCACTGGTTGCAAAGAAAGCTTGTGAACTAGGCTTGGAGGTTAAACCATGGATTAAGACAAGTCTAGCTCCAGGATCTGGTGTTGTCACAAAATACCTACAAAAGAGGTGATTTTGCGAACAATTTTGGAGCTTGCTTTGTTGCTACAGTGACAACCCCTTTCTTAATTTGCTTTGTATCTTTTACAGTGGCTTGCAGAAGTATTTGAATCAGCTTGGGTTTCACATTGTTGGGTATGGATGCACAACTTGCATTGGCAACTCGGGAGATATTCATGAAGCTGTAGCAGCAGCTATTACTGAAAATGGTATATGTGTACTTTCTTCATATAAAGCCCCATACTGATTGATGTCTGCTAAGAACCTCATTTCATCTAAACCATTGTATTTCCAGATTTGGTGGCTGCTGCAGTGTTATCCGGGAACAGGAATTTCGAGGGTAGGGTGCATCCATTGACTAGGGCAAATTATTTGGCTTCCCCTCCGCTTGTGGTTGCATATGCCCTTGCTGGAACAGTAAGTCGTCGAGGGTGGGAATGGGGTGTTACTTTTCTCTGATTCTATCATTATTTTCTGTTTGCTCATTTGCACATTGAAAACTCCAGGTTGACATTGACTTTGAAACCGAACCAATTGGCGTAGGAAAGGATGGGAAGGAGATCTTTTTCAGAGACATTTGGCCATCCACGGAGGAAGTTGCCGATGTGAGTGAATCCTTCCCTATGGCTCTGTTTGGGCCGAGTTAGGGGTTTGAAACGAACCTTTTACTTTGAATCTTAAAGAAGTACAGTTTGAAACAGAATTGTTAGGGGTTTTGTTGAATTTCTTCACATTAATTAACATGGTTAAATGAGAGACTAATATATCTTAACACTAAATAAAATCATGAAGTCGTAGGTTTAGTGTCGTATTGTGAGAACTTTTTGCAAGAGCTTCATATTGAGGGAGATGTTTGGGGGAGCTGATCGAATGCATACTCTTGTTATGCATAACTCTACACTTATCATGATGGTAATGCTTGGTAGTACATAAAATGATATCATGTGTTTTGAAGTATGCCATAGTGTAGAAATGTGGTATATTTTGGTCTTTGAATTTTTCTCCCTGAAAATTTGTACATCCAATAGTTCACGATGAACTCGTTCCTTTTGGACAAAATTTTCTAAAATTTGAGAAAAAACGAAGGTGGTACAGAGTGGTATGAAAATTTTTTCTCGAAATATATTGAATATATATATGTGGAATTTTTTTTGAAATTCAAGTTAAACCAAAGATGATAAAAAGCGGTAAAAAAGTAGGAAAAATAAAGACATTTGCTCTCGCTTCTTAGATGATGCCCCTCTTAAAATCAAATCAACGGCTCAGATGTAAGCATGCAAGTGTGCATAATAATCAATTTGAGTGACGCTTTGCACTGGGTGTTGCAGGCTGTACAATCAAACGTGTTGCCTGATATGTTTAAGGCTACATACGAAGCAATCACCAAAGGAAACCCAATGTGGAACGACTTGTCAGTATCTGCAAGGAGTCTCTACGCTTGGGAACCAACATCGACATACATCCACGAGCCACCTTACTTCAAGGGCATGACCATGTCTCCTCCTGGGCCCCACTGTGTGAGAGATGCTTACTGTCTGCTCAATTTTGGAGATAGCATTACGACAGATCACATCTCTCCTGCCGGTAGCATTCACAAAGACAGCCCTGCAGCTGCATACCTTATGGAGCGTGGGGTCGATCGAAGAGACTTCAATTCCTACGGCAGCCGACGTGGTAATGATGAGGTGATGGCTAGGGGTACATTCGCCAATATTCGCATCGTCAACAAGTTCCTAGCCGGACAAGTTGGTCCTAACACCATCCATATTCCCTCTGGTCAGAAGCTCTCCGTCTTTGATGCTGCCATGGTAAGTAAGAATTTCTTAAAACCTTGCCCTACTAGTTGCCAATTGGAGCTAATGGTAAAAGTGGAATCGCTTTGGAAAGAGTTATGAAAATAATGATTTTTTCCCCAAACTACACAACTAAAAATGTTTCGTCAAATGCAATGCTATTAAAAATTTTGCTCCATCTACCCAAAAATTCGTGTTACCAAAAGCAATTTAGCAAAATTGATGTGGATCTCATTGATCTTGCCACAAAATTGTTGGAGGCTTCAACGATTTTCACATAATATATTCGATCAATTCAGGAAAGTGTTACTTTGTGCCCTATTATTCGATCAATTCAAACATTTTCTTTTTTTTTTCTCTCCATATTTTTCAAGAGCTACAACTTTTTTTGAAAGATAATTTGAATAATGTATGTCGAATCCGGAAAACAACTTTTGTTAAAGGATAATTTGATGGCTCGGCTAGCTTTGCTTCTCGCTCTGTGTTGATTTCCGCTTTCTGTCTGTTTTCCCGGATGTTTGCTGCAGGCTTTCTTTGCCTTTGTTTTCCCTTCCTTGGTTTTAGTTGGCTTTGGCCTGCCTGGAGCGCTTTGTTTTGACTCCGCTGGTCTCCTTTTTCTTTATGTGTATGTTGTTTCTCTTCCTTTCATATATTTAATCTTTATAAAAAAAAATATTATCATCAAACCCCCTAAAATACAAAAAGATGTCATTTTTAATAGGTTAGGTCTTTAAATTGCTATAATTTTGTGCTTGGTTATTTGAACGTTGTAATTTTTTATTTATTTTATGTTGATAACTTTTCGAGATCTACGCAAAAAGCGGTTTGGTCCATATTCGTCTCCAAATTATGTCGTTTGTTGTTCGAAACGAGTCATTTTGTGAATTTGCTAAACTTGAACGGTCATAATTTTGTACTCTCCCCAGTGATTTAGGAACAATTTTTTCTTCTTCTTCATAAAGTGACATTTTTTTGCTTAACTTTTCAGCATATATTTTTACAGATGAATATTGGTTTCAAGGTTCAAACTAAGAGTGTGATGAATGTTTCATCCCCACATTACCATTAGGTTCTGAAAATTGTCCCGTAATAGAAGTTACAATCCTTGAGAGATTTTGTGGCAACTTCGTTGTTGTCCAATATAATTTTGTGCCAGGATCGTTGGGGTAGAAACAAATTGCTAGTTCGCTTTTTGTTATATCTTTCCATAAAATCGTCAGAGACCCAACGATTTTGTCCAAACTTAGCTAGATTGTGAACTTTTTTTGGTAGTGTGGTATCTGAATTTTTGTTGGGTAAGCTGTGTAGTTTTGGGTAAACGCCGATTAGACGGTCACTCGATTTGTTAAATTTTCAAATTGTGGAATAAGTAGTGGGTTCCATATTATTTTAATATTTAGGTTTTACAAGGTAGGTGTTTGAAGAATGTACTTGATTGAAAATTTGGTTATTTGATCAAACTGGAGAACCAATCCATTAAATCAAATGGAACTAATTTGGTTGAAAAGGAATCAATTTGCGGAAGAGGGACGATCTTTACCAACTTCTGGGATGCAATGTGATAACTTTTGATTGTCTGTGCTAAACAGCGGTACAAGAGTGAAGGGAAAGACACCATCATTTTGGCTGGTGCAGAGTATGGAAGTGGAAGTTCTCGGGATTGGGCTGCAAAGGGTCCAATGCTTTTGGTATGTTCACTCTACATCCACCTAGCTTCGTAGAAGAGCTTCCTTCCATGATAATTTCTTACCTCTGGGCTTGGCTCTTCCAGGGTGTGAAAGCTGTAATTGCAAAGAGTTTCGAGAGGATTCACCGCAGCAACTTGGTGGGGATGGGTATCATCCCAATGTGCTTCAAGACAGGAGAGGATGCAGATACACTTGGCTTAACTGGCCATGAACATTACACCATCGAGCTCCCAAGCAGCATCAGTGAGATCAGACCTGGTCAAGATGTGAAGGTGACAACAGATGATGGCAAGTCTTTCACATGCACATTACGTTTTGATACAGAGGTAAGTGAAAATCAACCCACCCTACCCGGGTTCTGCACTATGCTCACCAACGCCATGGAGCCTATTTAATGACCAGAGGGTCTAAAATCCTGTTGTTGCCCTCTGCAGGTGGAACTTGAATATTTCAACCACGGAGGAATACTGCAGTACGTGATCAGGAACTTGATTGGCTCAAATCAGTGAAATGGTGAGGAATTTCACTACAACGAGAGTGAGAGTGAGCATGCATGCTTGCTTGAGATGTTGGTTGTCCATTGAAATCAGCTATCTGCTCCTACATTTCTCTCCAGAGTGCGACGGACGTGCTTGGGATGCAGATACACAGTTGTTTCATTGCTGGGATTCGTGATTGCATTTGTTTCACTTTTATTGAACGATAATAAGTGAACAAACATTTCCCAATTTTTTTTTTTTGTTTCAATCTTTTGGAAACGTAGGGAATTCTCAAATTAAGGTGATATTTGCGATACGAGTCGGACAATTATGATTGATATTTTTAGTGAAATTAAACAAAGACCTCACTGTCTGTTAAAAGTGCTACTATTTTCTCTGAAGGAAAAAGGGCGATCAAAATTTCCTTCAGCCAGCAACCTGCATGCAATCTGTGTACGCGATATAAGTTGCTCAGGGGACTTGCAAACACTGCCATACAAACGAGCACATCGCTCTTGCCAAATGAAGCTCAAAGCAACGGACCAAATCAATCTACCAATTCTGACTTTGTCACTCGAACCACTCCATGTCTGGACACTCCAATTCAGATGCATCTCCTGGCAAAACAACTGCAGAACAGCATTCCAAATAGATCTGGTAATCGGGTCGGGTTGGACAATTTCGGATTGAAAATCTCGGGTTAAGGATCATCAAGGTCGGGTCATCACGGGTCGGCTAATTTTGGGTTAGATTCAACCTATTGGGTTTCGGATCCGGTCTTTGGTCATTTCGAGTTATGAGCGTTCTCATAAACACTATCGAACATGCTTCATAAATTTTTAAAGAACACAAATGTTCACAAATGCTCACATCCTTCTAAGCTAATGACAATAAAAACAAATTGCATAAATCGTCAAAAAACAATCACGAAAGTAATACTACTACAAGAAACAAAGGATGTTTGATTATCCTTACACTCAAAATTTTCTTTCAAATTCATATGAATTTTTTTAAACATCTCACCAATTTATAAGTGTTTTTATCATTTTAAGAGTGAAATATGGAATTAAACGGATTTAGCGGGTCGACCCCTTAACCCACCCAACCCGACGAAAAAAAATACGAGTTAATCAGGTTCGTGTCATTCGGGTTATAAAAACTTCAACCCATTTGCTATTTTTCGGACGGGTTCGGGTCGGATCAACCGGTTGAGTCGTGATTTACCAGGTCTAATTCCAAACATGGGACAAATAGGGACAATCTCCAAAAAGATGATTCCTGGAATCCACCCGTCCTAGACATAAGGGGCAACAAGCTTCATCAACTATCTTCCATACTAACATTTTTTTCTCTTTGGTTGTGATTCTATCCATGACAATTAACCAAAGCAAAAAACTACATTTGGAATCATTGGCTTTCCCCACACCACTTGAAACCATAGCACTGTTAGATGAGACTCCCTGATTAGATTCCAGACCGTCGTAACAGAGTATTTAATCATACTACCCCCATTCCAAAGAAAACAAGGAATCACACATGAAATAAATGGATAGATAGCTGCACGACTCTCAAGGATCCTTTGCCATATCCAGGAACCTGTTGAATTGTGTTGGAGATCCCAAACATGGGACGGGTTCGGGTCGGATCAACCGGTTGAGTCGTGATTTGCCATGTCTAATCCCAAACATGGGCCAAATAGGGACAATCTCCAAAAAGATGATTCCTGGAATCCACCCGTCCTAGACATAAGGGGCAACAAGCTTCATCAACTATCTTCCATACTAACATTTTTTTCTCTTTGGTTCTGATTCTATCCATGACAATTAACCAAAGCAAAAAACTACATTTTGGAATCATTGGCTTTCCCCACGCCACTTGAAACCATAGCACTGTTGGATGAGACTCCCTGATTAGATTCCAGACCGTCGTAACAGAGTATTTAATCATACTAACCCCATTCCAAAGAAAACAAGGAATCACACCTGAAATAAATGGATAGATAGCTGCACGACTCTCAAGGATCCTTTGCCATATCCAGGAACCTGTTGAATTGTGTTGGAGATCCCAAAAAGATATGTGCTTGATTCTATGTCGCTTTATCCAAGCAACCAATATTGATCCTGCCTAAGCCAAGATAGTCCATATGCCTTGCAACACATGCCTTATGCCATAATCTAAAGTCGCGGATACCCAGGTCACCCTCAGATTTCAATCGACCAAGTTACGGGCTCGTACGTGAACGGGGGCGAAAGAGCGAGTTTTGGGATGATTTGGAGTGAACGGGCAGACAGTTGGAGGAGTTACAGATCAGCCTTGGGAGTTACGGTTGCAACCGTAACTTGTCCCAAGAGCCCGTAACTTCTCGGAGGAGAAATGCTAAAGTTCCAGACAATTCATCAGAGTTACGGCCTGACCTTCGAAGTTATGCTCTGGACCGTAACTCACCCCTTGCACTCGTAACTCTTGGGAAGCGACGACACCAGGTTCCAGAAGCATTCTTGGAGTTACGGCCTCCCCTCACAAGTTAGGAGAGGGAGTTACAGCTGTAACTTAGGCCGTAACTCGCAATTGGCCAGCGTATAAAAGGGCTGCTCAGGAGAATGGCTGGGGATGCGGATTTTTGAGTTCTAAAAGGCATAAAAAGAAACCTAGAGAGAAAGTGACGAAGACAACCCTTGGGCACGGATTGGAGCGATTTGAAGACCTCAAAGCTTGATTCCTCATCCTCGGAGTACCGATTCGCCGCCAGAAGCAAAATTTCATTGGTCAACTGATGATTTCTCCTTCTAGCATGATGTTTCCACTCCTCTCTATGGAGTAAACTCCCTTTTCATCTGGGTATGAAGAACCCTAGTTTTGTATGCTAGCAATGATTGTATGAATCCTGTTTGCGAATGATTGATTTGATATATTCAATTGAGGCATTAATAAGAATTGCATGACTCTTGATCAAACCTGTGTGATTCTTGCTTTAACCTAGAACGATAGTCTCAAAATAGCTTAAAAGAGCAACTTTAAATTGAAAGTGGTGAATCGACTACTTTAGTCGAGAAGTCATTTCACTGCTCTTTACTGGAATTAAAACCAGTAGAGGAAGTTTGGTGTGTTAATGCCTTGGTTTATGCTGGTGGAGGTTAGTCACCTGCCGAGTATTCGAACCAAGAGGGTCTAGTCTTCTTTAGTCGAGATTCCTCACTTGTCAAGAACTTTCCGCAGTGTATCTATCAATCTGAACAAATTGGGAACATATAATTTGAACTAGCTTCATACTAGGGGGAACCATATCTGGATGACCTATGACATACTTGAAAACCCTGAGCATTTCTTGCATTTTGTTTATTTTGAATTTGAACATCTCACTACACTTAGTTTGCTAGATAATAGAAGTTCATGGAGTAGGCAGTAGATCTAGATCCCGGGTTGATAAATTAAACTTCACCACTACTCTGCATTTTCATAATACGATTACACTTGGTCGTAGTTTTGTGTTGTATTTTAGCGCGTCAAAGATAAACAAACTCAGGGGGAAAACACGTAGCTCAAAGCACTTTGAATAGAAGCTGCTAGTTTACTGAGTCAAAAGCTTTTCCCATGTCAACCTTTAAAACACGGTGATGAGTGATGACTTCTTATGATAATAATTCACAAGCTCAATCTCTAATAGGACATTATCACTTATACCGCGCCCTTTAATAAATGCAAACTGAGATTTTCCAATCACCGGATGTAAGGAACTAGATAGCCTTTTGGATAACAATTTGGAAATACCCTAGGACATTGCAACACGAGATTGGACAAAATTCCTTCATTCTATCAGCATTCATAACCTTAGGAATAAGTGAGATAATAGTGGAGTTTACCTGCTTGCTCATCACCCCTGTTTGGAAGAAGTCCAGAATAACATCACCCCAGGTGCAAGTGTTTGAGCCAGACTAAGAGGGAACCTATTTATACATTCGTGATTGACCAAGAATCTATCTAGTCTACGAGAAATAGGATTGCCACGTTGCTTATTCCACCTTGTAAACCACTCTTCCAACACCATATGATCCAGGAGCCCCATCGAATCAATTCATCTTCTAAAATCCACAGAGCTTTGGTTGATACATCAGTATCAGAAGCCTCAGTGGAGTGAGTCGTAGCATTGTAGTCCCCCATAAACGCAACAAGCTCCCTAGTAATAAATATTGCCAAAAATTCAGAATATCATTTGACCCTAGCTTCAACCTTATTCGGACTGTAGATTTCAGTAACCTATAAATTCCCAGGTCCAGTCACCCTCACTTGAATAAAGTGCTCACCAATTGTCACCTTTGTAACTTTTTGCATAGATGGAACGAGTTCGTTGTGATCTAAAATATGAGATCCATTTTCAATATACTTCTACAAAAAAATTTCATACCACTCGTTACTAGGGGTGGAAATTGGGGCGGGTGTGGTTACCCACCCCACATTTTGCGCGTAATATCACGGTCAACACAGTCACGACATTCCAGGTCATGACAGTACCCACATCCACAAATTTTCAATTACGCCACCCACAATCCGCACTAGGATGGCAATTTCGACCTGACCCGTTTTACCCGACCTGTTTGGCCTATTTTGGGGCGGGTTCGACCCGCTCATTAGGTGGGGCGGGGCGGGCATGGGTACCTCTCATCGACCTGACCTGCCTCAACCCACCTCATTCTTGACCCGTTCTTTCCTAAATTACATGTAATCTTAGTAAAATTATTCAGAATTTTCCTCTAATTACCTCATATTTTAGCAATAATAAACTTGTAAATAAGTGAACACCTGAATTTCTCCAATAATTTAGATACACATTGGGTCGACCTGCCCTGACCCGCGCCCTGTAATAAATTACCCGACCTGCCATGGGGCGGGTATGGGTATCGAGATACCCGCCCCGAACCTGCCCCATTGCAATTCCTAATCTGCACTGCAGTTGTTAGTGGGTAACCACTACACACTGCGGGTAGGTGCGGGTTGAGTGTGATTACCCGAAAAAATCCATCTTTGCAAGTATGGAGTTGAGGGGCAAACACCAACGTATTTGTTGTTCGCAGCTATACTATAGTAATATACAATTTGTGTCGTCCCACAAGATATAATTTTGTATATTGATCTTACTCAACGTGGAGATTTTTGCTTTTCGAGTTTGGCTTTCAACTTTTGTGTCAGGGAGCTGTGATTTCAGATATGAGCTTGTATTTTCTTTCACACAAAAGCAAAAACATACAGATAAAAGTTACTAAATGTGGCAACTTTTGATGAATCGATTATTTACCACTCTCTCGATTATAGTGTTTTATAAACTAAAATTTTTCGATTAAAACTGCTTAGATGCGTATTTGGTTATGTGGCTACTTTAGTTTTTTGCCTCCCACTTTTCACATACTATTATATTATAAAGTATTATTAGTAAA